GCAGTGGTAGAATAGAGAGGTAAAATTAATTAATTTTATAAAATTTTCTTTAGAGCAGCTTAAGTGGAAAGTACTCAAGTCCAGCAAGTATTACTAACAACAAATTGTTTCCCTAAAGTCAACATTAAAGGGTCTCTCATGCTAATGTTGCTGTTAGACACAGGAAACACTTTTTTGCTTGAAGCTTTTGGCCTTGACATAATATTTGACTGCATTTTTATTTAGCCAAAGTGAGCCTTAAGGAAAGTCCAAAATGGAGGTGGACTCTACATCAGCAGCCAGCGAGACCTTACATGACAGATGGACACATTTCACACATGGCAGTGATTTAGTCAGAGCGGACACAAGTCAGCCTTAAATAAATACTTTTTTAAAAAGTAAGGTCAAGTGGCAAACTTGTTTATCTTTTAGCAAACCGTCTGTCCCAGTGTTTTTAGAACAGTGTCTCTTACCAGTGGGAAGGCGTGGGAGATCTTGCCATCCGGGGGAAGCTTAGCTCCAAAGCCAATGCTGGGAAGAGTTTGTCGCTGTCGTAGTCCTGGATAATCTCCCCACAGCCTTCAGTGCCATGGCGTACGCATTCATCTGGTATGGACTCATGTAGTGCAGTGAGGTAGGCTGAGACGGGTTACCTGGAAAGAGAAACACCACACCCAATACACAGACAACACACACACACAATGTATGGCACATGAATAAAACCTATATATAGTGTGAGTTTGGGCATTTTGGAGCTTAGGCTATATACTTACTTTCTAAACCACTTTCATAAGTTCATTCCTGGATACAGTGTGGTTTACCCAAAAGCATTTGCATGCCAAGACACACAGGCAGCGACAAAATATGACATATATTTTCTGAAAAAAGAATGAGTCTTCCTAAATGTTAACTACCAGAAATCAAAAATGACAAACATGACAACATGACAAACAAAACTACATACATCTGCATCAAAATACACCTAGTGACCTGTACTTGATCCTCACACTGCGAGCTGATGTGTAGTTATTGTCAGTCCATTATGTGTGGCCTCTACTTAAAATCAAGCACATTTTAGAATTAATCAGTGCTTTTAGTTACTGGGTATGAAGATTAAAAGCCAAAATACAGTTACACGTTGGCACTAACAAATTGTCAAATACTGCTGCTGGGTGAGTCCCTCTGCTTCAAAATATGATGCTGTAGGGACCCCTCTAATGTAGTTTGTGGACCCACAGGGCTCTGCAATAATAAATATGCTACATCCAGTTAGTCTAGTTCAAAATAAAACTTGAATAATTTGGTGAAACCACTTCATTAGGTTAAGGCACAAAAACGACTTTGTTAGGTTTAGGAAAAGACTGTTTAGGTTTAGGGAAGACCTGACGTGACTTGAGTATGTTAAGTTCACTTACATATGTTATTTATAAGAAAGTTTCACACAGGACTCAAACAACAACATCTACTAGGTTAAAGTCCTGTGTCTGTTTGTCCCATTCCTCCATCCCTCCATTGACCCAGTGCTTTTTCTCGGATGGCCTACGATGATCTATGTGTTTCAACTTTTGTGAGAAAATGCAAAAACAGGTAATTTTTCCCCTCCCATCTTAAATATTTCCTCATGTAATTATAAATCAGACTTGTAGTCACTGAGTTAATCTATATGCTCATGCTTATTTAAGAAATTCTTATTCTGCTAGTTGGGAACCAATGGTCTATTTTTTATTTTGGTTGTTGTAATAATGCCTAGTAAACAGGTGAAATTAGCTTTTAGCTGCTGAAATAAATGTATTATGCACTGTCTCTATTAATTAACCGTTTTTATCACTGATGTGATACATGGATAGATTATCTTATTTGTGTTACATTACAGCAAGGTACAATATCACAAATAATTGTCAACCATGTATTGATTTTTTTAAATGGCACTCAACACTCAGTAAGATTGTCATACAGTGACAATCATTAGTTGTAGAAATATAACAAAGACCACCTACCCAAGTTAAGATCAAGATCAACCCAGAGAGGCGAACACAATCCTTAATTAAAGTAATAACTGACAATACGCATAAGTTGGCGGTAAAACATTTTCACTGAACAACAGAGTGGACATTTCCTGCATGCATAAAGATGTAAGGATGTCCTACCGTTGGATGCTGTGAAGTCTATGGCCACGGTGAAATTGAGTTGTGTCCTGGTGAGAGATTGATTGCACATCAGCATCATTCAAAACAGAGATATTAGGAATGTGCCAGAAGCTGTTTAGGCTAGACTGAGAAACTCATCAACGGCTCGCCTCTGTCGTATAAAGCACATAGCAGGGGATCTGCACCATGATTCAATTATACGGGCTCCTCAAGTCTTAAAATTTAAGTGCTGTTTTGTGCTGATATTCAACATTTGACTATTTTCAACCTAAAGAAGATGTGTTTTTCCAAGAGTTGTATTCATATAATATACAAATCTACTATAGGCTACTACTATATTCTGTGCATGTTTTGGAAAAACAATGGCAAGCATATATTATATTTGTGAATTTTTTTTTCTGTCTTGCAGGCTGTCACTGAGTTCAGTTAATTTCAGTACAGTATAAAATTTGACTGTAGGATCAATTGGCAGAGACAAAAGGGCAACTTAAAGCTGGGCTCAGACTAAAGGAGTTTTAAAATTCTAACCAAATTTGAAATAGGATTGTATCACACACATAAGGACAAACTTCTCTCCAATCTCAAAAGTACACAGTGCAAGATTTAAAAAGGCATAAGTCTGGATGAGAAACTGGTTGGGAAGATTGGTCAACATGGGTTGTCTGTTCTTAAGAGAGTACTAGAGGAGATATCTTATACGTAAGAAAGAAGGCACTGATCATGGGGAATCAACTCATGGCTCAACGGTGCGAGGGCCTGACAACGGCCAACCAAACTTTTTGACATGTCCAAATGTCTAATAGGCACCGATGTGACATGGCGTAAAGCGCAGTGATTGGTCGTAACTATAAAGACGCTATGCAAGTACAATCCATTAGGGCTGACTGCGAATAGTTGAAGATTCGATGCTTCGATGGGCGGCTCTTGATTCGACTGTCAATCTCACAGTCGAAGCTTCGCAGCAAAACAAGGATCATGTCATTTTGGCGATATGGGGGTGCTCAACAATGAACTACCAGTTTTCACCCAATGAGTTAATATACAGCCTATTACAATATACATTTCAACTTTTAATGCTATAAATAAACATATGAAAAGGATGAAACTTTCAATACATTTTTTTAATGTGCATAAATAAATCCAAAATTGTAACCCTAACCCTGGGTCGTCAGTGAGCATGTGTTGGCGAAGCGGGTGTGTGTGTGGTGGCAGAAGAGGAACACTTGCTGAAGAGACGGAGCCCCGGCTTCATTGGTGTTGTGCCGAGTTGTTCGCACCTCGCAAGACTTTCGGTTAATTTATCACCGTTGATGAACCACACAAAGAATATTTTATCGTTTTTCAATAGCCGGCTACTTGACTACTTGAAACAGACCCGCGAGGAACCGCAATGTGCATGCAGCTGCCAGCAACACAGCACGCACGCAAAACTCTGCCCAAGACCTGTGAATGGCAGGCAAGAGAGAGAGCAGCCCCCCCCCCCCGGCTCGCAATCACCGCGCACAAAAACACACTATTCGACAGTCGACTGTACGCAGGACTGGACGATTCTGATTTGACTATTTAAATCCTTAGGTGGGGACAGCCCTACAATCCATTTACCATTTACTGGCCAGAAAGTTGCTTTCATGGCTGCAAAATCATCTCAGGACTGCTCAGCTTTCCAGCAGACCTAGAAATTAGGTGCCAGTGGTACTTATACTCCCCTACAGACACACACCAGATAACCTCTCTGAGCCGCTAGCACAAAACAGGTACGACACAGAAACTTTAACAAAGGGCCATGAATGTGCTTCTAGTGACAGTCAAAGCCCCAGCAGACTCCAGACCGGACACGGAGAGTCTGACAGCAGCTGCTCATGGCTGGTTAACTCTGACTCCCAGCTTCCAGCTCGCTGTCCCTGCTACGCTGAATCAGTCACGCTGTCAGCCAGTCTGATCAGTGTATCCTTACTGGTCGGTGTTTCATTACCTCCTGTGTCACACACCACTTAGGCCATGCCCCTACAGTGGATGTCCTGTGCAGTCCTCTACTGCTTCTTCTAAATATGCTGCGAGGGAGGGAGCTAGCAGAATTTGGCTGTATTGTTGCTCTTTAATGGCTTCCCATAGATAGATTCCCACTGATAACACATTACAGATTGCGCTCTCACCCTCCTCTGATGAAGTCGACAAATGTGCATTCTGACTCCACTTTGAAAGACAGCAGGGTCACCTTGAAGACGGGGAGGGAGAAGAGAGCAGAGGACAGAAAAAAGATCACAAGGAGGTTTCATTGCAGACACCATCTGTTTATGGCTCTGATTGCTGCTATGACTCATGTCCATGAAACATGTGACAGCTGCTGATGAAACACACTCCGACAGGTCTTACCGTCCCTGAATTGATGTATTTCTTCTTCTTGCCTTTCTTTTTAGGATTCAAAACCTTGACACACAAGACAGGAAACAAGAAATTAGTTTTTGAACAAATGTGTCTGTAGTCATACATTGCATATCTGAACTCCTATTAAATGAATGACATATAACACTCACTTGATGTAGTTGCACATTCCCACAACGTTGTAAAAATTTTTATATCCTTTACACATCCAAGGCTATACTTTGCTTTTCTTGTATTTTACCTCATAGACATTAAACTGGCTTTGGCCTCTGGAAAGCTCTCTGTAGCTGGTGGTGAACTCTCCGATAAAGTCATGACTGGTAGAAAGATTGATTTAGATAGGAACAGAGAGAGAGAGACAGAGACAGAGACAGGAAAACAGGTACAGTGCATCAGCAACATAATTCACTATTTGCTTTAACAAAGAACGATCATTCTAAAGCAGATGCCTTTATCCAATAAAAGACATCAAGAACACCAGACCATACCTGCCAACTCTGGGATTTCTCTTGCTTTTCCCAGAGCCCTCCCGTTTTTCCCAGGAAACTCCCGTAATTATTACTATGGCCCTCAAACTTTATTATGAATAACTGTCATACTGTAATACATGGATCCAAGTCATGGATGGATATCTGATGTCACCCAAGTTGCCAGATCATCTATGAAACACAATCCACACATTAAATACAATTTTCAACCCATCTATCACCACAACCAGGCAACCTACAAGCAGATCCAAGGGCCGTGTGCCCAGCTGCTCTCTGCACAGGCAGAGGGGCCAGCAGCTAACTAACTAACGTTACCTGTTGAGCAAACGTCAGGACAGGACAGTGCTCCACCTAAAAAAATCTAAATACACCTGCACATTTAGAGTTGGACCGAACAGTTTAAACCCCCACCCCTAAATGTTGTATGCCGGACAGAAAACTATTGCAATTTTTAGTGTTTACAAGAAAAAGCACAACATTTAAGCAGCATTAAGTATTTTTTATTCCACCATGTCTTAACATTATGTTCACCAGCTAGTTGCTAAATGTGTTTTCCTGCTGTTTGGTGCTGGGCAGGTAGTGTACAGTAGGTTTAAGTTGAGAACAGCTTTCTGTTGTTGTTGGAAGTGAGGTTAATGAGAGCGGTGAGTCTGAACAAAATCATTCAAGTTGCAGGCCATAAAACCAAATCAATTAGCTGAAGAATGCTAAAACTCTCTACAGATCTGATGCAAACTGCACGGGTGAAAAGTCAATAACATACACACCTTTCACATTACACATTGTCATGTCATGTCAGCTGGAGGGGCAGTTCCAGTCCCTCACAGATTACAAATAATGTAAACCTATTTTACTTTAACCTCTTTCTGAAAAGGAGCCTTTAAGAAAATATGACTACTTTCAGTATAAAATCAAAAATGTACACCCATTGATCCGCTGAAGAATTCACACTAGTGGGCATTTTAAGTACCTTTTTGATTAGTGGTGTTGGAGGTTGCTGTGGAAGGATAATCAGTAGGTGAGTTATAGTTTTCTCACCCACTTAATTAAAAGGTAATGTCTCTTACTAAGTTGAATTCTGGATATTCCAAGCCAGGCGTAACACACTAACAAGGCAATGATTCATACAGTGACCACATGTGTAGACGTATCTAACTCTGTAGTACAATAATATGTCTTTTTATTATTTAGCCAGTTGTCTGAGTGTTATTCAGACAATTAATTCAGAATTATTCCCTTTCTAGTTAATTCAATGCTTACACCTTCTATCAAATTAGTGTAATATCCTATGTTCTGTTGGGTAACCCCCAAAGCTATCTGTTGGTTTCCTTCTTCTCATGACCACCCACACCCAAACCAATCATCTGTCAAAAACACAGCATGCATATTATATTATCTTCACCACCTTTAGGTTCACTATGATGCTCTCCCAAATAATTACAACCATCATGTTACTTCACTGCATAATGCTGTTGTCACAGCCACTGGACTTTCTATGCTGTAATTGTGAAACGCAAGGTTGCCTACAGACTCTTGACAAAGCATCTAGCCCAGATCACAAATCCACTAGAGTCATCTGGTCCTCGAGCAGTCAGTGCTGAGCTTGTAAGTCCTCTGTACTGTACTACAAGAAGGACACCAAGGCATATACATCCAAATACAAGATACTGTGCGTCCGCAAGATGAGAATCAGAGGACAAATGGCCTACCTGAGGGATTTAATATAGATTTCAATGAGAACTGAGGAGGGTACAAGAAGCACAACTAACCTAAAAACTAACTCTCCTGAAGTGGTGACATGGTGTGAGCCTGGTGATGTCTGCCTCCCCCTCCCCCCCTAGATAGCCCCAGAGGTACCACTAGCAAGACTGGTGAGCAAAGTATTGCAATGTCCCAAAACTGTTTAACAGTTAAATGTGTGAGGGGTTATAAAAGTGTAACTGGAGAGAGACACCACAAAAAAGGACTGGTTTAAGGGAAGGTCCAGGTCAGGTTTTATTTTATCTGTTGTCAGACACAGTTTTCTACAGGTCAAAAAGAACCTGCATAAATGAGATGATTACAGAGTGTCAGCCCTGCTCTATATCTGACTATAAAACCCCAAAACATTGTCTCTTAATTTCTTCCAGCAGGAGTGCTGTTGTGTCCATGAGCATTTCATTTCAGTGTTTTCCCGAGGTTAGTGTAAGCCTTAGGTGCACGTATTTGGTGACGGTAGTTCCTGTTATGACCATGGGGTCATATTTTGTCTGTGTTTATCTCTCACCCTGCAGCTGTCTCCTCCCTTAGAGTGTGAGTGAGTGTATGCAGATAATGGAAAACAGGTGTGCACACAGGATTGGTCCTGCAGAGCTGATTGGAGCCTCCTGATTGCTCACCTGGATGACAGCAGCCATTTTAAGCCCCATCTGACAGGAACTTCTCTCTCTCTGCCGTTCCCAACCTGAGCCTGTGTACTCTTTGTTTTCATTGTGAGTAGAGAACTGTTGTGAGCATACTAGACTTTGTGAGTGAACCTGTGTAGTGAACACATTAGACTTTGAATAGCTTAACTTTCTAACTCCGGTTATTGTCTTTTTTTTGATGGCTTAAGCCATTTTGTTTATGTACAGATGTTCTTTGTTGTAGCTTAGTTGTGTCAGTTACTAGCAGTTTTTTCTCCTGTTTTTGGAATTAGAAGCCTAGTTTAGAACTTTGTCTTTACTTTTTGTTTTTGGTTTAGGAAGGTTTTAGGTTTCTTAGAGTGTTTTGGGCACTGCTCATCTCTGATGATGAATAAACTGCTAAACTGTATCTCTTGTGTTCTGGCCTTGCTTGGGAATGGGAAGAGTGGGCAGCCACACCTTTTATGTTGCGTCCAGGAAACCCCTTGACCTTAGGACGTAACAATCCCTATTGGATCACATATAGTCTGTTGAAAAGAATCTTGGTGTCTGGTCAGTTCTGAGAAACAATATTACACAACTTAGTTACTTGTTTATCGACTCCAGACTGTACAGAACTCAGATGCCAGGTCTTTAGCCAGAGCCAAGAAACATGAACCTATCACTCCTGTTCTAGCTTCTTTACACTGGCCCCCAGTATGTTTTAGAATAGATTTTAAGATTTTACTGGTGAATCTTAAGGCTCTTCATAGCCTCACTCTATATCTCTGACATCTTACCTTACACGCTCGTATGTACTTTGAGATCCTCGGGCAGAGGTCTTTTGTCAGTTCTGACCAGTGTTGGGCAAGTTACTTAGAAATTGTAATATATTACTAGTTATTACTCCTTTAAAAAGTAATATTATTACTTTACTTATTACTGGGTGATAAAAGTAACTAGTTACGTTACTCGTTATGTTACTTTCCAGTGTTTTCCCACAGAATGACCTGCTTTCACTACCCTTCACCCCCAAACAAAGCAGTCTCTCGTGACTTTTTAACTAATATCATATTCATAACAGCAGCAAGGAGTGTGGTTTTTACAATGCATATAGCCTAGGCCTAACGTTTCTTAACGCCACTAGCTGAAATAAAAAAATAAAGCAAGTAAATCCGGACATTCAAACAGCGGTTTTACTGCAAATGTAGCCTAAGAGCAGTATTCCGTAGTTACAAAACGTTGCGTTAACGCCACTCTCTCCTGATGAGTCCAAGCATCAGTGACAGCAGCTGCTGGAGTTTCTTTCTGTAAGTTTCACGTCGCTGTGCTGCTTCAGCAGATGCTTCAATAAATCAGATGTAGAAATGTTCACGGTTGAAAGGTTTTTGCTGGTCGCACAGAGTTTAGACTAGACGACAATGTTCTTTGCATCAGACTGTGACACAATAATGGCAGCAGCTACTTACAGCTGTGGAAACAACGCCTCTCCCCCTAGTTCTACTTTCTTCCTTTAGTGTTTGGCTATTAGTGGACATGAACAAAAAAGTCCTGCTGAGCTGCCGCACAGTCGTGGATTTACGTCAAGGATGGTGCGTTCAGTAACGAGTAACGCAGCGTTACTTGCATTAGTAACTAGTAATAATGTTACCCTTTTAGAAAAGTAATTAGTTACACTACTTAGTTACTGGGAAAAGTAATATTATTACAGTAACTAGTAACGCGTTACTGCCCAACACTGGTTCTGATTTTACTTTAGTCTTCACCACTGAGATAAGGACTCAGCCTTGTACACGAGGCGCGTGCACTACCCACTGCTAACCGCACCCCAAAAGCTGATAACTGTGAGACTTGGAAAAGTAGTCTATAAATAAATATTATAATTATTTTTATTTATAATATATATTTAATGATGATAATATAACTTGGAATAATCTGCTTGTTACACAATGAAAAGCTCATGTCATGGAAAACTAGACTGCATTTAATAATAACACCTTCTGACCTGTCACCATGACTATCATTGATCAGTTGATCCCAGAGCTGTGCAGGAGAACTGCTGCTACATAAATATCGGTCTGTCTTTGTCAGACTGCTATAGAACAAAGCCTTTCACTTTCTTCCAACTCTGTCAGTCTTCCAGCGCTGTACGTTATATTATTAAACTAGTCACTATCACAAGCAGCAGATGTCAACCTACACAACACAACTCCCTCACTCTCACTTCCAGTGTAGACACGAAGACAAAACAACAAATTCGGAGCACTTCCTTATTGCTGAAATGAATAAGGGGCCTTTTGCTTTTTTTTCTTATATATAAATGATCTACCTGAAAGCAGATGATCCAATCATCATGTAACAGCAGAAACTCTTCATCAGGCTTCAGAGCTGTTAACTAGGCAACTAGTCAATATCTCCCAGTGGCTGCAGGATACCTGCTTAATTCACAATCAATATTGACCAAAAGGAAATTGAGGAAGAAAGTGAATACTTATAATCTAGATTTAAATATGAAGGTGTCATTTGGGATTCGCAACACACGTTTGATGCCCATATTAGGAAAGTGTCCAAAAAAACTGATTTCTTTTAGCATTTTTAAAATTTTTTAGTTCAGTCTTAATTGGGTTATCTAATTTACTGCACTTCATTCCTCCTCATACAACTATTATACTAAAAATAGGAAAAATACTATTCATCTCATGTACTCACTCCTGGTTGTGAAAGGTAACCATGGTGTCTGTTTTGCATGAGGTCTAATTGTACAGTATTATATTATTCAGTATCATGTATTAATCTACTAAAACTACACTAAATAAAACAGCATTTGAATTGGAATGTAATTTTACTACTTTCCCAGTGCATGGTCACTGCACTTGATCTGTGCCAGAATGACCTTATGGCGCTTAAATCTTCTCTGGTTGAGAGGATCCCTCAGAAAAATAAGGTTTTCATAGATTTAACACATAATTTTTCATCTGAACATGAAAAAAAATCCCCTACAGCATCATGGTAAATATCAACTCCCTGCATGCCCTCAGATTATCTCCGCATTTTAATATATCACCACCTGAAGCTGTGCGTGACACCAACACTGAGCAATGCTGGTATTTAGAGGGGAATCCTCAAGGAGCAAACAACGACTTAATCTCCCAACGGGGAAAGATGGAAGATGGAACATATCAAGGGGGAAGGAGAGGAAACGTTAACAAAGCAATAACATGGGAGAGGTTTAGATAAAGAAAGGGAGCGGACTTAAGCAGAAGAAAAAAGTCTAAGCAGATTGTGATGTTTATTATTGTAGTTCTAGGTTTATTTTCTAGTGGCATGCATATGTATATCATGCACTGCAATGTCTGTCCTTTTCTCTCTTGCACCTTCTGGTAGTTTAATGTCAGAATAGAAAAGTGTTTTGGGTAAGATGATTTAGACCACATAGACTTAGCTGGAAGACTGCGGGAGCTAAATGGACAGTTGTAATGTGAGCTACAAGTGCAGTTTCTATCCAGGCTGTACATGAGGGCTGCCTTCATATATGACTGGATTGGCCTGGCCAGTGTGCTGTCCATTATGAGCCACCTACTATAATTTTGTGTATTGTTCAAACTGATGAGTGTAGCTATCGAGGAGCGTTGGTCTTGTAGCTCTCTATGACTACACTCTTCCTGCTTAATCTTGTTAATCACCTAATCCTGTGCAAATGGTCTTACTTGACTTACTTGACAGTTTGGTGCAGGATGTGCAAGCTTAGTAGAGGGGCTGGAGGTGTGGGGAGGCATGTCTAATTTACATGTTGTGTGTTCTTCACTGGCTTGCTACTATTACTAGTACTGGTAAGTCTACATTCTGAAATCCCCTGATTTAGTTCAGAGTAGGAGTGTGTTCTCCACAGCCTCACTGCGATGATGGGACTTCTGTAGTGTGCACACACTTGGGCTTTCATTAAGCTAGCTGTTGATGGTCGGTAATTGTAGGCTGACTGCTTGTTAAACCACAAGATCTAGCTTTTATTTCTACATATGTTAAATATAGAACGTGAGACCTGAGGCTGTGGAGGACTTGGAATTCTAGGGACTGGATGGAGAATTGTAGTACACCTTTGACGAAGCTGTTCTGAATAACGAAAGTAATGTAACTAATTACTAACATTTACTAATCAATTTCCCTGTGAATTTTCATCCACATCACACAGGATGCCCTGGACATATTTGTTTGCAAAAGTGGATAAAAATAAAAACATTTCATAGTAGTGTTATTGTGTAGGTATAAATGGCGAGTTGTGTTCATCTGTATGTAACACTTAGACTGTATTGCGATCATTGCATTCACTGAGGTCAAATGCTGGGTTTAATCTTTTCTGTGTGAAAGACAGCACACTCCCTGCTCTCCCTGGCAGAATGAATGCACAGGACTTTATTTTGATTATGTCCCTATTTTAAAGTTAAGTTCTGAAATCTCTGATAATGGACTGCTTTAAAATTCCTTGCCATGATGCCCTGAAAAGACAAAACAGAATCATCTTTCAAACGCTTGATGACTCTGTCAAACTAGATACACAATACTGGACACAGCAAGACAAACATTTATCTTTAGTTTCCTCACATTGTGATAGGGATTTGGAAGTTTGGGGGATTCATAAAAACACCACGAGAATTTCCAATGAATCCTGAAATTTATGGAAAGCAGTAACACAAGGCCAGACTTCCTAAAAAAACTTAAATTAATCTTACAAGTCTGTCAGAGGAGCCCGTAAAAGGAACCCACTGTCAGTGAGAAAGAGAAGCTGTCAGTACTGCGGTCAGCACTCATTTCCCTGACCTCTTTTCCACTCAGTTGCGACCCTGCAAGTTGTTTTTGATTCATCAACCAGCGTGTTCCAGGTGGGTGGAGCCCTCCATCTGTTCTAATACCTAATAATAAGACTAAAATAACTGCCCCCAGACAGAACAGGGTGTGACATTTGTGGGATTCAATCTGAAGCTGAAAATGAATAAAAGAAAAAGTAAGAGATAGCGAGTGTGAGAACTTACCTCCCATCTCTATCCCAATCATAAACGTCCACCTTGACTGTCCTGGAGGGAGGTGAGATGATGTAGCGGAGATGAGACAGACAGAGGTGAGATTCAGTGAGGAGAGAGATTGTCAGGGTGAGAAAGAGAAAGAGAAGCGTCACAGGGACAGGGGAGAGAAATCGACAGAGCGAGAGTAAGTCAGGAGGTAAACCGACAAAAACCAGTATAAAAAAGGACACCTGTTACGTAACAAGGTTAGATGCCTGACATAAAAGAGAATACACCAGTATTTTTGGAACTGATCCTTATATGCAATGAAAACACATACCCATACACCCCCACTCTGAGTGCTATGTATCCCTGACTCTTGTGCTCCATAGCATACCCTCCATGACAATACAGCATAATGAAAGATTAAATGGCAGTGCCAATGCCTGCCACTCTTGCATCAAATATCCATCAAGAACAGTATCCGCAGTAGAACACATATAACATCTTGATTATATTTTTCCTACAGTGGTCGGAGACTAACCAGTACACCTGTGTTTGCTGGAAAATAATCAAGGCCCTAAACTAGAATTTTGGCCCCTCTACAAGACAGGGCCTCTAAATTAGGTAATAGTGCAGGACCTGAATGGATGTCTCTATCATTTCAATTTACCCGGTGCTTTATTGGTGCATATTCAGAAACAAATTTGCAACTAATAAAATGATCACAAACTACGTGACACACAATGAACCTGGTGGTTCTGGGACCCCTCGGCATCTGGGGGCGGGCTGCCTGTTCAGTTGATAATCCAGCCTCAGTAATAATATACTGTTAACCCTCTGAAACCTGATTTCACTTCCATCATATTGAGGTACAGCTACAGTATGTGTCAGAATTTGCTCCTCAGTTGACCTCGGCCCATCTCAAGTCCCTGCTCCCTAGGTTATGTTTTTCTTTGTTTTATGTCACTCATTGATTTTTTCCTGTTTTATTTTGAAATACCACACCTTTCGTTTCAAATACTTCGCTTCCTACCCTCATTATCCTTCCGTAACGTATTTAGTCTGTGTCTTCCCCTGTCTCAGTGCTAGTTCGTCTTTGTACCCTGTGTCAAGTGTTCCAGCCTTTTCCCTAGTGTTAGTTCTCCTGGTATTTTTTGATCTTTGCTTAGTTTTCCTGAACCTACTCCCTGTTTGGACAGCTTGTCCTGGATTTGTACTGGCCTGCTTGCACTATTGTGACATTATACGAACAGTATGATGCTGATGAGACACTGAATGTAATATTCAAATCCAAAATGTCAAAGCAAAAATTGAGCGAACGGGAGTAAACGGTGCATTTGTTGGGGACTATTTTTAGCAGCAGATTAATTAATGTGTTGTTGGTAATGAAGGAACATGTCGCCCAGTGCAACAGTATGGCTCACCGATGTGACAACAACGGAGCTCTATGGCACAGAACAATTAGATCTATCAGGCTTTGGATAGACAGACAATACTTGTCAGTACAATCATCGCTGTTGTGGAATTTCTTGTCAGTAAGAAAAAATCTGACTGTCGCCTGGGTTTTTATTAATGGACCAAGGCAGTGTGGTGGCCACTGAGGTTGAAGAGGATAATATTTGACAAGCCAACACCTTCTTATGGCAAACATGGGTCAATTGTCCATTCTACTACAGCATTTTTTGTGGTCTTTTGTGTACATTTTGCTTTTGTCCAACACAACCTAGCAACAGTAAAGTCAAATGATGAAATGAAGGAAAGAGGCCAGTTTAAAAACAAAAAGAAGACAAAAATGTGTGTGTGTTTGAGTATTCCTGTAGTTCTATCATCATCAGAACCAAATTAGGATTTGGGCTTAAGGTTAAAACAAGAATTAGGTTTATTTTAGGATAAAGTTTAATTTCAAACTTGGATTAAAGTTTTATAGCCAGTGTAAGTATAATAATTTAGATATTTGTGACATTATTGCTGCATCGCCCTTATGTTGGTCTCAATAACACCAGCACTGGCCTGAGACCAAGAGCACGGCCGACTGCTGGCATTATTCTGACCACCACAGAGGTCTCATCCTTATACATTCAGCAGGCTGTGTCCTTACTTTTTTTGTGTAATACCAAAGAAAAAAACATCTCAACACGTCAGTATTTCAAGTAGCAGATTAAAGGTTTTAATAGGAAACTAGACCTAAACCTAAATATATTAAGTATATTAAAGGGATATTTCAGTTTTTTCTTTAAGTGGGTCTGTATGAGGTACTCATCCATAGTCATTTTGGAGCAGAGAGTTGTACTGGCTTGGAAGCTAAGCAATAAACTGGTGTGGTCAGGGTCAGCAGCAAATCATATTTCAGCCACCTAAAAGAAGCCACCTGAAAATTTCCTTTCCATTTCCTTTGGAACTACATTTCAGGACTGTAAAAATTTCTACACATAAGGCTGTCTGATAGCAAGGTAAAGAGCTGAAAAAATGCAATATGTAGTGTACAATTGAACTGATAGACGATACTCGAAGATGTTTTGTCCGTACATACATGGAATGGATTCTCCAGGATACAAATGGTAATATAAGGTGACCTTGAGTGCCATGAAAGGCGCCATCAAATAAAATGTTTTATTATTATTATTATATAGTCATCACCCATGAACAATATTACTGTTTGTATCCTGGAGAAGCCATTCCAATACGGACTACCCAAATCACACAAAGAAGGAGCCCCAGACTTTAACTTTCCTTAGATAACTATGACCTGGATGACTGAGAAGCTTCCCAGACAATTGAACTGATATTGATTCTGTTCTGCGGAACAACTCTCTGCTTCTTCAAACTTGGAATATGGATAGGTACTTCATAAAGCCCCACTTAAAAAATCCAAACTGTCCCATTCATTTTTTGGAATGCAAATTGTTATACTGTATGTTCTGGTTCTCCCCCTTAAGGACATCATGCTTATCCAGTGTAGTCACGTTTACAACCAGTTCTTCCTGAATGCAATATGAACCACATTTAATGCCAAGGGAAAAGTGTTTGAAGCTGCTTAAAACCAACAGGATGAAGGTACGATGATTTCATAAATGGCACTTACTACCCTTAGATTTCTTCAACAATTTTAAACTAGAAAGGAGCAAATCTTTTTCCCACAGAACATCACTCCATGCAGTTTTTGTGACTAATGATTTCATAATCATAATAACATCTCCCAAAGCCTCTGATCCCTGTGCTGCCCTCTCACCTGTCATAGTCTCCATTACAGAGTGCTCGAACAGGGATGGTAAACGGCTGCCAAACAGGGTTCAGATTGTTCTTGATCACCTCAGTCTTGTGGCAGATGGTGAACCTGGAAATGCAAAATGACAACATGGTGAGGAGGATGATTCTAAAAATAAAAACAACTACAGGAAGATGGAAGTTAGGGTGGACAGGAAATGTTTCAGAAATGTTACTACAGTGGTTTGATCACCACTTCCTTTAGAATGTAATATGTAAAGTAAAGGATATGTGCATATATGTGTCTAATATTGTTTTGCTCCCTGGGTAAGCATTCAAATTTAGCTCATTCAGACACACAGACAGTCTCTCAGAATACACCTCAACTAAATTAAATTTTCAGCATGAAACTGCAGAAACAGAACATGCTCACAGAGGGGTTTGATCCTGAAGTGTATGTGTGAAATATTGAAGGATACAGTAAGTGCAGATTAGAACTTTCTGTCTCAGTGTCAAGAAAATCTATTAGCCCTTCTTCCATCTGATGGGAAAGAATCTTCCAGAGTCCTGATGGGACTGGATCCAAGAGAGAAATCTGCTATCAGATTTTCAGTTGAAACAGAGGAGCGTCACACTCACCTCAGCTCAAGGGCTACCAGATGGATTATACTATAAATCATTTAACACACACACCAAACAAAAACACACACTTACGTCCCATCCTCATTGCTCCGGTAGAAGACGAGGAAAGGGTCGGACTTGCCAAAGAAATCCTTTTTATCCAGCTTGTTGGCACAGAGCTGCATGGTGGCTATGTCCTGGAAGAAACAACAACACCTTCCATTAATGTTTTTAAATTAAACACCATTTACTCATTAGTTGACCTGGCCTTGAGCATTGTTGCTTCTAAGAAACGTTACCTTCCTCAGGCCCAGAAAAACACATTATGACCTGATTAGAACAGAAAACCCACAGATTAAGACTTGGTTGTCTTTACTTGACTAAATGTAAGGTTTGATCTTTGAGATCTGAGACTTCAATTCAGTTGCCAGTTTATTAGGTACAACTAGATTGCATTAGTATTAAAGGATCAGTGTGTAATAATTAGGAGGATATATTGACAGAAAGGCAATATATTAGTTACTGTATATTACCGTAAAACTTCAATTAATAGCCGAGTTATATAAGTTCTTTGGACGTATAAAAACCTCTAAAACCCTGCGGGTCACCTGCTTTAGCTGCTTCTAAGCTGCTCAGATCATTAATACAAATATTAGACCTAATGTTTAAACATATGATCAATATGTCAGCATGGACATGCTGGACATTGTTATTCTCCACAATTTAATCGTTCAGTTCATTTAACGGAAACAACGATCCCCAAAGTCTAATTATTGTAGATTTACTGGTGTAACCTGCAAGACATGAAAAGAAAAAAAAAGTGCTGACTCCTGTTACCTTTGAAGTGCTCATTAAGTCTGAATGTGTCCGTTAGTTCATTATTTATATTCCTTTAGTCTGTAAGGGTCCACCGATCAAAAGAATCAAAACAGCTTTTCATTTCATTGAAAAATTAATTCAACTTATGAATCCTGTCATGTGAAGTCCATCGCTCTCTGTCTGCTAACTTCTGCCACACTTTTCTCATCCTGCACCTTACGTTGCTGCCTTCAAATAAAAGCGCATAAGCTGTCTGTTGAGTTAGATCAAATGAGTGATGTGTATTTGATATTATTGGATAATTTAAAAAAGTAAGATAAAAGTAATATTCTGTTTGAAATAAACAAACTGTTTCATAGTAACCTATTTCACTTTTGTGCGAGAGAAATTAAAGGCCCGTCCCATATGGACGCCTGTCCCAAATAAAGGCAGGGTCAATTCTGTGATTTTAGCAAATAAAAGCTTTTGCAAAAATTTAATTTGTTATGTGGTTATAATAGTAAGTTTGCTGTCCATGCAGAGTGAACTAGATGTATGACTGTTATAAGCTCTGATAATAATAATAATCCAACACATCTTTGTAGAAGCGTCAATTCCACATTCCGACTTAAGAGGACATGAACACGCACTGAAGAATGACTTCACAACTTGGGAAATAAAACCATCCGAGAAGAACTTGAATTTACTTTATTTGAGTTGATGGTTGCAATGTGCAACTGTCACAACTAGATGCCACTAAAACTTACAGACTGAAAATTTAAGTGAATTAATAAATTACGAATAACAATAGTGGAAAGTAGCTAAATATATTTAAGTGTCCTTCTTTTGCCCTACTCCACTACATTTCAGAGGGAAATATTGTACATTTTACTGCATTTATTTGACAGTTATAGTTACTAACAGATTAAGATTTTTCATTTAAAAACATAAATATAAATACAGCGCATTGTTAAAGATCAAAGCCATGGTTCCCATCCTTTTTGGCCTGTGACCTCGATGTCACATTTCAGATGTCTATCAGCTGTTAGCAGTTTCACCAAAGAGAAACTGACAATGTCACTGATGCTTTTATTTGAATAAGTCACTTGAATATTCAAGACCTGAAGGGGTCAAATTATTAAATATTTAACAAAAACCGTCAACTGATCACACCCAAGATTTATCTTGTGGCCCATTGGAGGGGCTTTCTTTGAATTTATGTGTTTATTTTGATTGTTAAAAGGGCACGCCAGTGATTATTGTTATTTATTATCTGTATTGTATATCCATTAGGTTTGGGAATTCACAAGAGAGATTAAAAACACAATAGTCCAATTGAGTTATACTGTCTTTCATTTAGTATTAGTCGAGCTCCAAAAAAACACAGATTCCGATGCATCCCGCACTACATCTTGATACTAGTGGGTTTTGTTACACCCTCCCTGTCTGGTAACATTAAAGTCTTTCAAATACCACATCCCCAGTTTGTAATGCAAGTTATTTTGTTATAAATTGTTATTTTTCTAGCCCAAGCTTGGGTAACCTTGATGACATCATCCAGAGCCACAGAAGACATGAATAAAATAATTTTCACACATTGAGTAGTACTCTTTGTACATTGAGTACAAGATGAGCAAACTGATCTTAATGTAAAATTGAAAAGTGCCCCTTTCTTAAACTGGTGAAAAAGACAGTAACAACACTTTCTTTGTGCTATTTTTCTTTGGCACTGGTGAAACTAACTAATTAACTAATCTTTGAGGACACACTCAAAAAAATGAATAACGATTTTCACTCAGCCTTTCATGTTTATTTGATAAGTGACCTAGCGTGCGTGCAATACAATGCTATCGAAGAGTCCCCATACAAATAGTGAACTTGTACTCACCTCCACTGTGTCCATTATTATGTAATATCAGGTCACCCTGTTGGGCAATTTTCACTTACTTTAACATACATCAGTTTGATACCACTGAGGTTTACAACAATTATGTCATAAAGGGTTTATATCAGGCTAAATAAATGAATAAGAATATAAATTAAAACTGTGCTCATTCCCCAACCTTTCAAGCAACATGATAATGACATATACACACGTGGAGGGTTGAAAACAATCCATTACATTTATTAATTTAATCTGGTAATTAATTTAATTTATTAATTTACAATTACTATATATGAGGTTGCACGCCTCTGGAGCAACTAGGGGTTAAGTGTGTTGCTCAGGGACACAATGGTGGATGTGTAACAGTGGGGAATTGAGTCTCTCACACCAAAGGCATGGGTTGCCACCCCAATCCAGCATGACTTGCTGACAGAGCTAATGGGAGATCAATGTGAAGAGTTGTTCTTGTGCCGTACATTTCTTAAACTGCAAAAGGAATGGGTGGAAAAGGATTTCATTAATATGGTGGATAGCTTTGCACAGAAACTGGCAAAGAAGACAACTGTTTTTAAGGCAAGACGGCTCAGACTGTTATTGCATTGTTTACAGCTTTTTAAAGAACATGTACATGAACAACAGCAACTCAAATAAATCAGGAACATAAGGTAAAGACACACAGATAGAACTGATAATTCATCCATGACATTCACAAACCATAACTAATAATGTGAACAAAAACTTTGTGTTCTGAAGTCCTCAAGGAATCCTCACAGTCATATGTATGATATGGTATGAGGAAGGTTACACCAAACTGCTTCTTCACTATTTAAATCATTACCAGCATGCATGGAATTTTGCCTGTAAAAGTGCACGCTGTAATACCATGGCGCGCATGTTTGTGTGTGGAGTATGTGTGCTTGCATAAGCTTCTCTCTTTGATTGGAGTCTCTACTTATTTACCCACTGTGGCAAGAAAAATGAACTTTAAGACTGGATAAATAATTCATGAGCGGCTCTCATCGTCACTTTGAAGGAAAAGTACAAATTCACTTTCCTTCCACTTGATGCATATGACAAAATTATTCTAAGTCTGGGCGGTCATTTAAATTCCCTCGGCAAAGTTAAAAATGGAAACACACTGCGTGACTGTTATGAATTCAGACTTTTGTGCTTAACTTTCTGACCCCTGTCTAGGGGTGGCTTCAGTATTTTCAACCTGGATGGTTTTGTGTCTATGTACACCGAGCGTGTGTGTGTGTCCTGAGTATGATCAGATACTAACCCGGCAGTTACTGAGCTCCTCGGCTGTGAAGATGATGGTTCCACATTTCTTCCCAGGAATCCCACTGAGAGAGAGAGAGAGAGAGAGAGAGAGAGAGGGAGAGAGGGAGAGAGAGAGAGAGGAACAATGGTGGACTACAAAAGCAATAAAGACTCATCCTGCAGTTATTTGGGGTTGTGTATGCTGGTCCAGGAATTGGTCATGGTAATTTTGTGCCCGAAAGCAAGTATGCAAATACCAATATTGGAATCAAAAAATGGAATAATAACAATAATGATTAACCTTCAACAAAAAAAACACTGATAACAGATAAAAGACAGATGACTGGACAAACAGTTTTCGTGCATCTGCAGATTATGCTCCGGTGTGTGATTTCCTCTCAACAGGACGAAACATGTTGAAACATGTAGATTAAGGTTTTCTTTGCTGCAAATCATGTCAGACAGTAAGCCTCCATCTGCTGATCCCATTGCAGCCAATCACATTACATCCAGGTCATTAATCACAGCAGCAGTGGCAGACGCACTGACCCAAGATCAGATCCTCAGCACTCACAATTATCATCTAAAGGAAGAAAAAGAGGACACGTCACCAGTCTTCTGTCTGATCACTTCTCTGTTCCTGCCTCCTAATTTCTCTCGGGGAGATTGGACTTTTTATTCAGTGATGAATTGCGGAACAATCTTGGTAATTGTATTTAAATTGAATCTGGATTAGAAAACGAGGCCTGAAGTGATTTCTCAAAGGGATGGATCCCCAGGTACAGCCGCTGCTTAGTGCCATTTTCTGCTCTGCCTTTAAGCTGCTGGAAGATGCCTTGTTACAGATTTTGCTGCTGTACATTCTCCAGAGTTTCATGACCCACTCCAAAACAACAGACAAGGAATTTTCAGGTAACAAAGCAAATTTTATTTTCTGCTATCTCCTCTCCTGTCCTACAACAACAAACAACAATAGACACAAAAACACACAGAAAATATAAAAGTAAATCAAGATTAAAGTTACATTAACATGACTAAATATGTCAAATGTTTTAGGAATCTTAAAGCCACCACTATTGATTTTGATTTCTCGAATTTCCGACAGCTTCAGTGATGTTTACAGGTTTTCAATGTAGTGAGTCTCCAGGACACCACATGTGGTCATCCGAGTGGGTCCCAGGGAAATTAAGTGGGTCTCAATAAAATGTGTGTACTTTGATTGTAGTGTTAATAATGCAACAATAATAATAATTTCTGTAATGAAAGCAGGAATTTGTGTATGTGTGGGTGTGTGGGTACTTCGATTATGTCAAGAACCGTTCATCCAATCAACCTCATATATGGCGAGTGTGTTGCTGCGGACCCAAGAGAATGAATAAACGTTGAATAATCCACAGTACAGTGCGAGCCGTTCCATTTTGCAACAGATCGGGGTATGCTGGTGGGGGCGGGGCTTATGTGCCCCTGATTGTTGTGTTGTTTCAGGGTTATTAATGCTGTTTTATTACTCAAAAATATCTCACTGGAAACAAATCTAAAATGTCAGTACAATAAATGATATTCTTGACATGAAAATACTGTGTGAAGTTTAGAAAGAATGAAAAACTCAGACATCAGTCCTTCCCCCTGTCCTCCTCCTCCTGCCTCTGCGGCTGTGATTCACTGCCTGGTACAGTGAGGAGCAGCTGGTTTGTCTCCGCCAGCAGCAAGACAAGAATTTGCCAGATTTTAAGATTCACAGCAAACTAAGCTACACAGCTGCATACAGACAGCTTTCATTATTGTTTTCTTGTTTGTAACAATTTGCAATTAGCTGTGTTTATGTAAAACATAGCAGCAGTGGATGAGAAACAGAGCAGATTAAAATATTGCTTTCCACATGTTTATGCTTGTTTAACAGATGAATTGATTCCAACTTGTACTCCTGGAATGGTATTTCCGTGCAGGCCCCCCCATTTACACCACTGGGTACAGCTCAAATTCATGAATATAAAGTTTCAATGCACCCTAACACAGTATTTTCCTTGCTGCAAGTGGTATCCCAGTGCCTCAGCACATACTCCCTCATCGTAATTCTCCCTGGAACAAAACTAAGATTCTACAGTCCTGGCAGCGGCTCTGTGAGGCTGTAGGACTCGAGTTTGAGACTCGGACTCGAGTCACACTTAAGTCGCACACACAGTGACTTCAGACTTTACTTGAGACTCAAGGTGCGGGACTCGTGAACAATGTTTATTTTATAGGAAACATCCGATGAGCGTGCTGTTATTCCCCTCCCTGCTTTAAAACTTACATACAACAAGGCCCAAACAAAGACGCGCTGAACGCAAAATAGGTTAGCAACCTGTGGTGAGTGAACAAGTTTAGCTCAGCATTGAAAATCTAACGTTAGCTTGCTTCTTGCTTCAGCTACGACCTACGGGAGGTTAACTCCGACTGTCATTTGTTATGAAAAGATGAATGAGCGTTTGTTTACTTGCCAAACTTGTGGTGGTCGGTTAATGTAATCATTTACTCACGTTAATTATTAACGTCGGCTGCAAACAGGTTACAGATTTATTGTTGATCATGTAACGTTACAGTTTTATTTAGTTATAACGTTACACTGATTTGAGAGTCTGGGGGATCTGTTGACTTATAGTAGTTTATAAGCTGTGATTAGTTGTCGCAGTAAGCATTACATGGTTGTGCTCTGTAAGTGAAAAACAGGTTACAGTTACAGGATTTACTTATAGCTATGCAGTTTTATTAGCAACCTGGATGGAACATAGCAGATGATACAACATTCATTATAACCAGTGCTTAATTTATAAATGATTAGGTACATTATTTTAAAGAGGTGGTATTATGCTCATTTATAGGTTCAAAATCCTATCTAGGTGTTGAACCAGAACAGGTTTACATGGTTTAATTTTCTAAAAACAGCATATTTTTTGTCATACTGCACATTGCTGCAGCTCCTCTTTTCACCCTGTGTTGAAGGCTTCGTTTTAGCTATGGAGTGATACATCTTGTCTCTAAATGATCTTTGTTGGGAGTTGCACATGCGCAGTCGAGTGTTAAATTAAGCGCATTTAGCTTTAAGGCTAAACGGCTGGACTACAAACAAGCTGTTTTCAGGCAGTTCAGATCAGAGCTTTCTGTGGGCTTTTTCACTCTGCAAACCTGTTACATGCACAAAAAAGGTATATAACTCATTAAAGGAGAGGGAAGAAGGTAAAAAGCATAATACCACCTCTTTAAAGGGCGAACAGAAACCATTAATAGCCACCAAATCAAATAGTAGGCTAAATAAGGAAATCCATTAGACTTACCCTATTAGGCTGGATGAACTATTGGATTTTATTTGTGTAGAAGGGCAGTGCAGTGACGCAGCGCACTTTAGAGGTGCCGGAGCGCAAAGCGCTTAAGTTAAGCACTGATTATAACCACAAGTTACTTGAGACTTGACTTGGACTCTAGCTCAGAGACTTGTGAGCATCTCTGCGCAGCGGTGACTTGAGCTAAAAGCATTAACAAGCTTGGTGATCTCCTGATGTCATTAATTATTGGGTCAACATTTCTATTTGTCCAATACTTTGGTTTTTGACAAAATACCCGCAAAACTCCATCAGCCCCAGCTTTACTTCCACAATACCTGGGCAATATTCTACATGTTTCTATATTCTTCATCATGTGTTTATCCTTAAGACCCCTGACTTATTTCAGTTCTTTCTAACTAATTTGCTCTACACAGATCCAAAATCTGACACTACGTGGTGAGACCACACCCAACAAGTGTCTCATTTCCTTCTTCATGGTCCCAAATATCTCAGGCTCTGTGTGCGAATTGATTACACAGTGAGGGAAAAAAGCTGCGTAATTAAAAGTTTTCAAGTCACATCAAAACTAGAAAAATAGTTGGTAAACCTTTGTCATCCACTTGACAATTCCCTGTGGCTGGGAGTCACACTCCACCTCACAACACGACACAGCGATTCGTTCCATTCACTTGAATGCTGTGAGCCGGCCGCCTGATGCCGTGCTGTGATTATAATGCCGGCTGAGATTCAAAATCCATGACACATACACAGGCACAAGCACACACAAACACATGCACACAATCCAGAACCACAGATGATAATATTACACACACACACAATAAATTCTCCTTGAGATGCTGTTTCCTGTAACCTTGAACAATGGTTTTGCCTCAGTGAGTCTATTGTCCATTCCTCAGCCTCTTTTGTGAACACAGTCACGTAACCCAGGCTACGTGAGGGCAGGTAGAACTGAAACACCTTCACTTAAAAGAAGAATTAATTCCTACACTTTCCTCTCAGTATGGTTTTCTTTTTAATCAATCTCTGCTGACCCTCCTACTTTAATGAAGAACACTAACAGTGATGTATGAGCGTCTGCAGGCCGCATTCACTCTGATAATGACTTTTGCATGGTCACGGCGGGCGATGGGAATACCTGCAGCGTGGCACACTTACACACACACAGACACACATACAATACACCACCTGTCAGGGATTCTATTCCCATTCTTAACGCAACAGTGCTACTAAAAGCTCAATTGTGGTAAAGCTGCTGCTACTTGACTGGAGCTGAAGCACAGCAGGGTGGAAGAAATCGATACAGCAAAGATGAAGAAAAACTTAAAGGTACAAGTGATCAAAGAAAGTATGTGTGGATGTGTGTACGTTTGTGTGTGTGTGTGTGTGAAGTCCTTCAGCAGGAGCTTTCCCACACATATCTTGTCCTCCTCCCACTGCCTGATGTGGGTCCCACACATGTTATACAAGCTCCCACATACAAACACACACACGCAGACACAAAGTTACACAACTCTGAACAGGCACAGTAATATACAAAACTGCATAAAAAAGCTTCAAAGTCTCTGCTTTTGGCAGTAGTTGATTTAGTTTTACAGTTACATGAAGCTAGGGGACTTGCAAGATAACAATATCCAAAAATGCAGCAGCGACCATCTAGACTTATGTTAAACACTTGATCTAGACTTCTAGTCTTAAACCAATACCTGAACCCGGTCTGTGTGCTTAAGACCTTTTGCTATATTTCTTTTTTTCCTAATCATTTGG